AGTCAACCCTGAGCCGGTGAGATTTGAACTGCAGAACTGCAGTCAGCTGAAGTAGCCTGCAGTGCTGCATTTAACCACTGTGCCACCTCGGCTCTCATATGCCTAGGATGGTCAGTTGCTACCCCGTTTCCCCGAAAATCAGACCCAACCAGAAAATAAGTCCTAGCATGATCTTCCAGGATGCTCCTAATATAAGCCCTACCCCCAAAATAAGCACCAGTTAAGATTGTCAGCCAGAGGGATGCATTTAGTACTGTTGTCAACTCATAAAGTTACCATGATAAGGAATGGTGGGGAGTGCATTCCACACATAGTTTCTTCTAGAGTCCGATCTCAAATTATTGCAGGTTTGGGAGGTGTGCACCTCACTGGGGAATGTGATTTATGACACAGACTGAGGGGAGGGAAGGAACAGGGGTAAAGTTCAGCTATAATTCAAATGAGGCTCAGAACTGACTGCAATAAGGTCGTCAAATGGTGCTCCTAATAAATGACTAGTTTTCTTTTGAAACTTGGCTCAAGACTCATGAATCAATTAGGGCGTTTTTCGGAAGCTTGACAACTGTATTTTCCCCAAAATAAGACCTAACCAGAAAATAAGCCCTAATGCACCTTTTGGAGAAAAAATTAATATAAGACCCATCTTATTTTCAGGGAAACACAGTAGTTAAAATAAGCAACCTTACAGATAAAAGCTGCCAAAGTGATAGGAGTCCAAGTTCTATTCAGTTGAAAGGAAAAAAGTCCACCAAAACACACGGTGGTTTGCCAGATTTAAGAAGAAAGCTGTAACATTCCAACAGAGATTTAAACCAGGAGTACCGACCAAGACTTGTGGACTTCAACTCCCAGAATTCCCAGCCAGCCATGAACTGAAGTCCACAAGTCTTCACATTGTCAAGGTTGGACAACCCTGGTTTAAATGATGGACATTTTAATTTTAGTTTTTCTCCGATTGCTATTTATTGAGAGGGCTCGCAGGTTGCTCCAAACATCTGACAAGCTGAACTTGAGGAGTCAGGATTTCCTGACCTGACTTCACCTTTCTGGAAGGGCTGACCTCAATCAGAAAAGCCTATTTTCCTTTATCTCCTTACTGCATTGGTAAAGGTAACAGTTTCCCTTGTCCAGTCGTGTCCTATTCCAGGGGGCAGTGGTCATCTCCATTCCTTAACCCAGGGAGCCAGCAATGTTGGAAGATGCTTCTGTGGTCATGTGGCCAGCATGTCTATGCTGAAGCACATGGAATGCTGTTATCTTCCCACCAAAGTGGTACGTATTTATCTATTCGCATCTTCCCGCCAAAGTGGTACCTATTTATCTACTTGCACCAAAGTGGTACCTATTTATCTACTTGCACCAAA